CGTTTTTCTCACATCCTCTCAGACTTCAAACAAACCACCGACTGGGAGGGTCACATGAAGTGTGGCCTTTAAAGCCTGCAAAGATTCACGCCTCTCAAGATGGGCTTGTCCAATGAGGAAGCCCGGAATTTCAAGTGGGAGTTCTGAGATACTGGGGCATTTTTTATGGCCCTTTGTTTGAAAGCATGGTAATTTGCATATGAAACTTGTATAACAATTATTACAGACTCTTAGAACACTAATATGTTGCGTAGGTGTAAACATACAATATAGACTCTCAATTAGATCATCCGAATACGAATTCATAGATACTAAACATGGTAGGGTTATATATATGTAAGCTGACAGGAGTGTGTTTCGATTATAAGCCTGCATAACAGTATACAATTTCAAAGACAAAATACACGATGACAATAATATACCCAATGACCTGAAGGGTCATGTGTGTTCATTCAAAGAAAGGTTTTCCTATTAATTAATTAGCAAAGAAAAGTCCTTCCCTTGTGGATTTTCCCTATGGGCAAGGAAGCGATTTTCTTCACCTAAATTCCAGGAGGTCGTAAATGTATCGGGTGTCAGGGTTACCATGGAACCAGGGGCCTGTTCGGCTTCCTGGGGTGTTACAGAGTATTTGTTAAATCTAGCTAACAAAATATATATTGTGTGTTTGAGTGGTCCAGACGCTACACGTTCATATTCTGCTGTTCTGTGGCAACGGATTTACAGGTCTTGTCTTTTTCTTGCAGGACCCTGTACGTTATAGTACTAAATTAGTTTTAATCGTTTAATCACCACAGCGTCTTGTCTCCATTGGCAACATGCACCATTTGTGTCGATTGCAAATGACGTCACAGGTATCGGAGAGTGCAAGTGGCGATTGCAAGTGACATTGTAATTTAGTTTATTTTTTCTTGTCTTCACCACCTGGCTACTGTTGTAAAATGTTGAGAGATTCAAACAAAAAGTAATAAAAAATAGAACAAAATAAAAAATAAAGCCTGCAAGTGACGTCACTAGCGGAAGCGCAAGTGTCTGAGAGTGCAAGTGCGAGGCTGCAGCCAGACCCTTCTCGTTTTTTTTAGGGGGTGGCTGTGTTGATGTTTTTTTCCTTTATTAGTAATAAGTCATTTGCTGTGTGAATTCACAGGTTAGACTTCGCCGAACATGACCTTTGGTACTGAGTAAAACACAAGACGAACTATTATACTTTATAATTTATACACTGCCATTCATCATATATCACTACTATTCAAAATTTTGGGGCCGTAAGATATTTAAAAAATTGTTTTGAAAGAAGTCTTATGCTCACCAAGCCTGCATTTTTTAAAATAAAAAAATACAGTAAAAGCTGTAGTATTATGAAATAATATTACAGTTTAAAATAACTGTTTTCTATTTAAATGTTTAAAAATGTAATTTATTCCTGTGATGATCAAGCTGAATTTTCAGCAGGCAATGATCCTTCACACATGATCCTTCAGAAGTCATTCTAATATTCCTGTCACTTTTGATCAATTTAATGTGTCCTCGCTGAGAAAAAAAAAGATAGAAAAAAATGGAATGGTAGCGTATAAATTAAGTATTGATAAAATCTGTAAAATTTATGAAGTTTAGACTGAATTAAGAAAATAAGGATAGGGATGAAGGTCAGAGTTTTTTTTTGTTGTTGTTGTTGTTGACATTTATTCCAGACCCTCTGTGTTCCACCACAGAGAACCAGCAAATCAAAGCAAGATCATATAAAGCTCTTACATTTTTACTCCCTAATCCTACAGCCTTGACCTTTACACCAGCTAAATTACAAAGCTGACGCTTTCCGAGTAGGATTGCCAAGTCCGTAGATTTACAGTAGAATTGGGCTACTTTTACACTGTTGCTGCAGGTTGGTTTTTAGTCTGCGGCTTAAAGCAATCTGTCCCTCACCCACCCGGAGCATGATTTTGACAGTGCGGACCTGCAGAAAAAAGCATGATTGAGCTAGTTTTGAATAGCAGTTGGGCTGTTTTTTTTTCTTCTCAAACCTGGCAACCCTGCTTCTGAGCCAGCATCATGCCAGCTCAGTTCAGTTCCTCAAGACTTTTCTTTCCGTCTATGTAGAGGAGGAATCCCTCTGATTATCATTTGGTGAAGTCAGTGCGGTACCTGTTTAATCACTCCTCTCACAAGTGTGTCCATGGCCCTTTGACGCTTGCAAACTGGCCTGTATTTCAGAAGCAAGTCCTTGTCCTCCACCTCATGAATATGGATGCCATCTTTTATCAGCTTCAAATAAACTTGGTCCTGTTTGATGATGCATCCCTCCTCCTCTCCTCTTTCTGGGAGTCGGAGCGAGTACAGCCACCGCACCAAGTCATTTATGTTTTTGAAGCATGCCATCTTTTCTTACAGTGAGTGGGGAAACTTGGTGCAAACCCAAAGGAAGAGTTTGATGTTAAATATAGACTAGATTTTTGACTTGACATGTTTGTTGGACTGGAAAAACCAGCATGCTGCTAGTGTAGCATGCTGGAGTCCTGGTGTTAATGCTGAGACAAACTGACGTCTTTCCACTAGACCTTGTCTTTTATGTCTTTCTTTTCTGTTACGTCTGAGTTGAATTTCTTGAAGTTCTTCGATTTTATTTCCTCATGTCTTAATTTTAAGTTCTCTTCACTGACCCAAAAAAAAACTCCTGAATCTACAGCAACTACTGAAGACTCCAGCACATCTTTTTTTGTCTTTATTGTTCATTTATACTTTTCAAACCTTCAGATCTTGTCAACTCTTGTAAACAAAGGAGCGG